GTGATCTACATATCCTCATATGTAGATGTTAGTCAGAGTCTATATTATACATATTGACAAAGTGATCTCCATATCTTCATATGTAGGTGTTAGTCAGAGTCTATGTCATACATATTGACACAGTGATCTCCATATCCTCATATGTAGGTGTTAGTCAGAGTCTATATCATACATATTGACAAAGTGATCTCCATATCTTCAGAGTGCAATCATCACTAGCACTCACAAGCATCTCAGGATTCTTTGGATTGAATGCTACAGAGTTAACCACATCGTTATGCTGTATCCTGGCAACTTCTATACCATAATATCTATCCCATATGTGACCTTGTTTATCCTCTGCTCCACTGTAAGTTTACAGAAACAAATAATTAACAAGTCATGACATGACATAACTATATATATATATAATTGGATGTAGATGTACATTGCTACATAATGCTACGAACATTGCTACATAATGCTATGTACATTGCTACATATTGCTATGTACATTGCTACATAATGCTATGTACATTGCTACATATTGCTATGTACATTGCTACATAATTCTGTGTACATTGCAACCTAATGCTTTGTACATTGCTAAATATTGCTATGTACATTGCTACATAATGCTACATACATTGCTACATATTGCTATGTACATTGCTAAATATTGCTATGTACATTGCTACATAATGCTATGTACATTGCTACATATTGCTATGTACATTGCTACATAATGCTATGTACATTGCTACATATTGCTATGTACAGTGCTACATAATGCTATGTACATTGCTACATAGTGCTATGTACATTGCTACATATTGATATGTACAGTGCTACATAATGCTATGTACATTGCTACATATTGCTATGTACATTGCTACATAATGCTATGTACATTGCTACATATTGCTATGTACAGTGCTACATAATGCTATGTACATTGCTACATAATGCTATGTACATTGCTACATAATGCTATGTACATTGCTACATATTGCTATGTACATTGCTACATAATTCTGTGTACATTGCAACCTAATGCTTTGTACATTGCTAAATATTGCTATGTACATTGCTACATAATGCTACATACATTGCTACATATTGCTATGTACATTGCTAAATATTGCTATGTACATTGCTACATAATGCTATGTACATTGCTACATATTGCTATGTACATTGCTACATAATGCTATGTACATTGCTACATATTGCTATGTACATTGCTACATAATGCTATATACATTGCTACATATTGCTATGTACATTGCTACATAATTCTGTGTACATTGCAACCTAATGCTTTGTACATTGCTAAATATTGCTATGTACATTGCTACATAATGCTACATACATTGCTACATATTGCTATGTACATTGCTAAATATTGCTATGTACATTGCTACATAATGCTATGTACATTGCTACATATTGCTATGTACATTGCTACATAATGCTATGTACATTGCTACATATTGCTATGTACAGTGCTACATAATGCTATGTACATTGCTACATAGTGCTATGTACATTGCTACATATTGCTATGTACATTGCTACATAATGCTATGTACATTGCTACATATTGCTATGTATATTGCTACATATTGCTATGTACATTGCTACATATTGATATGTACAGTGCTACATAATGCTATGTACATTGCTACATAATGCTATGCACATTGCTACATAATGATATGTACATTGCTGCAAAATGATATGTACATTGCTACATGATATGCACATTGCTACATAATGATATGCACATTGCTACATAATGATATGTGCATTGCTACATAATGATATGTACATTGCTACATAATGCTATGTACATTGCTACATAATATGTACATTGCTACATAATGATACGTACAATGCCACATAATGATATGTACATTGCTACATAATGATATGCACATTGCTACATAATGATATGTACATTGCTACATAATGCTATGTACATTGCTACATAATGATATGCCCATTGCTACATAATGCTATGTACATTGCTCCATAATGCTATGTACATTGCTACATAATGATATGTACATTGCTACATAATGCTTTGCACATTGCTACATAATGATATAAACATTGCTACAAAATGCTATGTACATTGCTACATAATGATATGTGCATTGCTACATAATGATATGCACATTGCTACATAATGATATGTACATTGCTACAAAATGATATGTACATTGCTACATGATATGCACATTGCTACATAATGATATGCACATTGCTACATAATGATATGTGCATTGCTACATAATGATATGTACCTTGCTACATAATGCTATGCACATTGCTACATAATGATATAAACATTGCTATAAAATGCTATGTACATTGCTACATAATGATATGTGCATTGCTACATAATGATATGCACATTGCTACATAATGATATGTACATTGCTACAAAATGATATGTACATTGCTACATGATATGCACATTGCTACATAATGATATGCACATTGCTACATAATGATATGTGCATTGCTACATAATGATATGTTCATTGCTACATAATGCTATGTACATTGCTACATAATGATATGTACATTGCTACATAATGATACGTACATTGCCACATAATGATATGTACATTGCTACATAATGATCTGCACATTGCTACATAATGATATGTACATTGCTACATAATGCTATGTACATTGCTACATAATGATATGCCCATTGCTACATAATGCTATGTACATTGCTCCATAATGCTATGTACATTGCTACATAATGATATGTACATTGCTACATAATGCTATGCACATTGCTACATAATGATATAAACATTGCTACAAAATGCTATGTACATTGCTACATAATGATATGTGCATTGCTACATAATGATATGCACATTGCTACATAATATGTACATTGCTACGTAATGCTATGTACATTGCAACATAATGATATGCACATTGCTACATATTGCTATGTACATTGCTACATAATATGTACATTGCTCCATAATGATATGTACATTGCTACATAATGATATGCACATTGCTGCATAATGATATGTATATTGCTACATAATGATATGCACATTGCTACATAATGGTATGTACATTGCTACATAATGCTATGTACATTGCTACATAATGAGACGTACATTGCCACATAATGATATGCACATTGCTACATAATGATATGTACATTGCTACATAATGCTATGTACATTGCTACATAATGAGACGTACATTGCCACATAATGATATGTACATTGCTACATAACGATATGCACATTGCTACATAATGATATGTACATTGCTACCAAATGCTATGTACATTGCTACATAATGATATGTACATTGCTACATAATGATATGCACATTGCTACATAATGATATGTACATTGCTACATAATGATATGTACATTGCTACATAATGATACGTACATTGCCACATAATGATATGTACATTGCTACATAATACTATGCACATTGTTAGATAATGTTATGTACCTTGCTACATAATGCTGACTGACATCTAAAAAGATGAAAAATAATTCTTCATTAGTTGAGAAAGCTCTATGTCCATAGTGACGCTTGACTTCTGTCATGGTTACCAGATCATATACATGTAACTCTATCTCTTGTGCAATCTGGGGTGGCTTCAGTGGGTCAGTAATAATATAGTTTTTAGACCACAAGCGACAATTGACAGAGAGATATCTGGGAAACACAGACAAGAAATTATATTAATTACTATAATAGCTTTAAGTACAGAAAATTATTGATTGAACAGATACCATAGTTGTCCGAGTATTAACCCCTGCTTGAGTATAAGCTTGGTATGTGAATAATGGTAGTTTCCTTTCTGAAGAATGTGGTGGCCCTGAAAAGAGCCGCTAGATTTGTGTTTGCACAGTATACACAAACGTTAATATGTACCTCCACTTTGAAATACATTCTGTGTAGTACCGGATTCTGCCGTAATTTGCCCTGGCCCGTTAAACGGCAGTTTGGGTTTTTGAAAAAAATTATGGCGATTTTTCGGCAGTTTTTAAAGTTGTTTTTTTGGCGTCATTTTTTGGTTATTTCAATCGTTTTTGATGCCTAATATAGTCATAAATTATTAAATTTGTATTCAAGAGCGTGTTTATTGTCACTAGCATGAATGAGTAAGCTTCGTTTCGACAATGAGCTGTTATCTCTGTAAACAATGTTAAAATATTCTTCTAATGCTCAGTTCATCTTTTGAAAACAACTATTTTTTTGATTTGACAGAAAATTATGCCATTTTCCCATCAAAATGCAAGCCAAGAGATCGTACAATAACATCAGCAAATCTCTTCCGCATTGTTCCGCAGTTCAATAACATTAACATATTTAAATGAGCTATGGTAATTTAAACATGTTGGCTTATCCCACTAATTGAATTTCCATAGACGACAATGTTAACATATGACGAGATTGCTTTTTGAAAATGATGAAGAAAGATGAAAAGATGACTCAAAAAAATGGGAAATCAACATGTCAGTAATCAACCACATGAAAAAAATGACATGTTGGCCAGCTCAAACTCAAATCTCAGGTAAACAAGGCACACCTACTGTATTTAGACTGCACCTAGAGAAATCACTGGAAAAACACCAAGATTAGAACATCCAAATACAAAATGTACACATAGAATAAACCTATAGGTACACTGAGTAGTAAACAAAAGACCCCATGTCAGTCTCAGCTTTGACCCAGGTGATCACACCCACAAACAGGGAGTACCTGAGAAAAAAAATATTTAAAAAGTTTCATTGGTTCTTGCAAGGCATTTAAATTGAGAGCTACCAACGGTCATTGGATTGATTAGTGGCATGAGACCTTTATATGCAGCAGTATGACACGTAGCATGACCGGATTATGTAATTGTGATCATTTGCTGTTACACCTATGCAGTTGTTAGAATATACTCTCGATACCCCAAAGTGTACTGACCAATATTCACATGAAACGCAGGGTCGATTGCTGTTCCACTTAGTAATCGCACCCAAGAGTGATTATAGTGACCCCTGGTGTAATGGCCGATCCTCAAGTTACATGTAATTTGGACGATGCTAGTCGATGAAGACACTCTAGTATCATACACACAACGATTTGTTTATGAATAAATTAGCATAAATTATCACTCAGGAGAAGTTTTAACTTTTATTCGTTTATAAGCCCCTACCCAATTTTCATCAATTTGCCGTTTCCCGGAGGGGCTTATACTGGACAACTATTACGTGTGAACAAACTTTTCTAATAAAACATATTATTAATTACAATACACTAATTAACAAGTCATTGTTAATGACATAGTCCCTGTTGGAATTAGGAAGAATGTTATTCATGCCAAAACTAAAGTAATATGCATCAACAGCATAGTTAACAAATGGCTGGTCTAGTATCAACACAAATTAAATATATTAAATTTGGTCCACAGGGTTTTGAAATATGAAATATGAATTATAAGTCCTTGTTTCAAACTAATAATGTTTATTTTATTATGCACAAAAGAGGGACGCAATTCATAAATGAGTGTCACTTACCTGTGGTCTGGTGACAATGCCATGCCAATTACGTGTCATAAATGAGTGTCACTTATCTGTGGTCTGGTGACAATGCCATGCCAATAACGTGTCATAAATGAGTGTCACTTGCCTGTGGTCTGGTGACAATGCCATGCCAATAACGTGCCATAAATGAGTGTCACTTATCTGTGGTCTGGTGACAATGCCATGCCAATAACGTGTCATAAATGAGTGTCACTTACCTGTGGTCTGGTGACAATGCCATGCCAATAATGTGTCCATGAATTTCAATCACATGGTCTACTTTATCAAACTGTATATCTCGATTATTATCCTCATCAGACCCATCAGTACTCTTTTCTTTCTGACTTTTTACAGCTGCCAAGGCCTCTTGTACTTGTTGTCTAGGGGATGCACCTTTCATTATTTTCGTCATATCGTCTTCAATTTTTTTAACAGCGATCTGGTGAGGTGTGTGTGCTAATGTGCCCATGGAAAATATCAAATATTTTGATTTATTTTTGTCTCTGGACTCTTCTACATCACTGCTACAACTTGTGGACAAGTTATCTGTACTATTTGTTTTACTTTCTACGTATTTTATTGTAGGGTCTTCATCACTGCTAAATGTGAAATGTTTTCCCAAGCTACGTAAAACATCACTTTGCTCTGAGCCTGTCACTGCCTCGTCAGAGAACAGAATATCATTAGAACTACATCTTGAGTTGTGGCTGTCCATAGTGTGATATAGACTTCTTAAATCACTATCAGAAGCACTTGTTCTCATACTATCAGTTTCATATTTTCCAAAACTATCTTTATATCGCTTCTGAGGTGATGGTTTTTGGGTGTTATTTTGTGAAGGCTGGATATTTGCACATCCACATTTTAACAGTCGTAATGTCTCGTCATCACACGATTCACCAGAATCTTTCAACTCAGCCCTTTTCATTCGGGACCACACATGATCATAGTATGTGTCTCCAAGTATCTTTGATGATGTAAATACTGCTGAATTTTCAGTTGTATCTTTTTGTTTTAATGTCTTTCGTGATTTCAAGAGAGGGCTATTACCAGTCCTGTTTGATGCATCTCTCTTGGCACCGATTGGTGGGCAAGGCGTATCCACATCCCAATCCCTATCTATACCTAGGGAAGACATATTATTATCAACATTGCAATGAGATGTCTGGACACTATCAAGTTGTGATTCGTTATAACCATCAGAGAAATCAGCACCACTGGAATCATCAGGCTCTCTTAATTCATTCTCACTACTATCAATTGGTTTACACATTGTCTCTAACTCAACAACTCTCTCTTCACTATACCCACATTACCTTGCAACCATGACATTTCTAACAGTACTAGCATTGATATTTAGAAAGCGGAATAGTCTCATGACAACTGACTCCCCAGAGTCTATTTCTTGCGTGGCTTTATTCATCCACACAGCAGAACATGAGGACAGTTGACCCAGGTTATGAAAATTTCCAGATAGCAGATAAGAATTGTTCAACCAAGCACCAAATACATCATAAGGTTGCTTGCAATGTAAATTCTTCTGTAATAAGAAACAAAAGCATGGATAAGTATAATCCTATGAAGATTTATGAACAGTGACAATATCCCTGACATTAATTGACATTCTTTAGGTATGGATACTACAGCAGTGTTGGCCAATTTGCATAACAATTGAATATGTTAATGACTTTTATTGTATTAATTGTTATGCTAAATTGGTTCTATTATTTATCTAAAACAGTTGGAAACCCCTATTGTACAATGCCCTGTGAGGTAATCTCCTGAAATCACTTGTTCCACAAATCAAAAATATTATACCGTTCATGATGCTATAATTGACAAGACATATCATATTGTATTGCATAGTTTTTCACAGATTGAAAACTGACAGAATATATGATGGCTGTCACAATGTGAACTCATTTAATACATATTTGAACACTATCAGAAATTAGGTTTAACAATGTTTGGTAAGAATTTCAACAACAATATTGATGTGAGTAATATACATGTGTATCAGACTTTCTATGTGAGTAATATACATGTGTATCAGACTTTCTATGTGAGTAATATACATGTGTATCAGACTTTCTATGTGAGTAATATACATGTGTATCAGACTTTCTATGTGAGTTATATACATGTGTATCAGACTTTCCATGTGAGTAATATACATGTGTATCAGACTTTCTATGTGA